CTTGCCTGCATCCCTGCCTACGTCCCTACCTGCATCCCTGTCTGCACCCTTGTCTGCATCCCTGCCTGCACCCTTGCCTGCATCCCTGCCTACGTCCCTACCTGCATCCCTGTCTGCACCCTTGTCTGCATCCCTGCCTGCACCCTTGCCTGCATCCCTGCCTACGTCCCTACCTGCATCCCTGTCTGCACCCTTGTCTGCATCCCTGCCTGCACCCTTGCCTGCATCCCTGCCTACGTCCCTACCTGCATCCCTGTCTGCACCCTTGCCTGCATCCCTGCCCCCCTTATCTGCATCCCTGCCTGCCCCCTACCTGCATCCCTGCCTGCCCCCTACCCGCATCCCTGCCTGCACCCTTGCCTGCATCCCTGCCTGCACCCTTGCCTGCATCCCTGCCTGCACCCTTGCCTGCATCACTGCCTACGTCTCTACCTGCATCCCTGTCTGCATCCCTGCCTGCATCCCTGCCTGCCTTCTACCCGCATCCCTTCCTGCACCCTCGCCTGCATCCTTGCCTGCATCCCTGCCTGCGTCCCTACCTGCATCCCTGCCTGCACCCCTACCTGCATCCCTGCCTGCGTCCCTACCTGCGTCCCTGCCTGCACCCTTGCCTGCCTCCCTGCCTGAATCCCTGTCTGCCTCCCTGCCTGAATCACTCGCATAAATTCGCGCTCCACTAGCCTCCACCGCACGTGTGCGACGATCGATGATCTAGTCGTACAATCTTCGAATTCCGACTCAGTCATGCGATTCTGGAACCCAGCATGGTTCGATCCCGCGAGCTTGTTTATACGCTCGTCCCGCTATACAGAGTTCACATAGCGATGATCACTGATTCTATCCCATGCATCCGTTATTATCATCGATCCCATCTCATGCTGCTAGTGCATTTCGATCGCACCATTTGCTTCGGCTATCATCAGTCCATTTTATTCTCCTGGTATACCTACATACACCCAACCTATGCTTTTAGAATACGCGTTCGGAATCTATTTCTATCTCTATCTATCTATCTATCTATCGATCGATCGATCGATCGATCGATCTATCTCTCTTATTTCGTTTTGTTCCTTCTGTATTTTTTCTCTCTTTCCCTCCATTTCCTTTGGATTTCCATCGCTCGTCATCTGCTCCTATTCTGCTCATCTCTCTATTTACACCTCACACACTTCCTCTTCCTTTCCTTCCTCGTCTTCCTTATTTTTCTTTCTCTCTCTCTCTCTCTCTCTGTCTCATCCCTCTTCTCCTCTGACTTTCTACTTTTTTTCATATCCTCTGGCACCCCACTCTCTCAATCTCTCTCTCTCGCGCGCGCTCTCTCTCTCTCTCTCTCTCTCTCTCTCTCTCTCTCTCTCTCTCTCTCTCTCTCTCTCTCTCTCTCTCTATAGCCACCATCGGTTTACATGATACATGACTTG